TCAACTGTGTAGCTCTTGCCGGTCAGATATGTAGATGCCGTCAAAAGTACTTTTAATATCGCTGCTGCCCAATATTAATCTCCTCACCATATCTGGTTACCCTCATATAGTTCAGCCTGCAGACCGATGCAGTTGGACGGGGTGTGACGCGAGGAGCCATATATGAGAGTTGCGTGCCTTGTGGGGACCAGTTACTTAGAACCATCTACGACACACGATGCGGCCGATCCTTGTAAAAGGTACTACCCCTCCAACGCAACCCCATCAACCCCAGTCACTTAGGCATTCTGCGGGAAATTTTCGCCGGGTAATTTTCGATTTTAGCGGGCAATTTTCGCCGAAAATTACCCGCTTCATATGGGATTTTTTGTACATGAGTGAAATATTCCCTACAATTAAAATGTTGAGTTGAAATTAAAAATAATTTAAAGCTCGTAACAAGTGTATTAATTATAGAAGAAAAAAAAAACTGTCTCTATAAACCTGTTGGTTTAGTTATTGCAGCCGCTTTATTTTAGAGGCAGATTTTTTCCGAGCCATCCTACATTTCCTAATATAGCACACGCCAAAGGGAATAAATAAACGGGAAACGCCGACAAAATTACTATAAATATGCCGTTTGCGGAACACACCGCACAACGTACGATTATCTAAAGCGCGCTGCACTTACCGTAAACAAAATTGCAACGTTATCTAAATATTATATAAAATGGCGGCGGACGAAAACGGGCTGCCGCTACACGTTCAATGAAATACGCATCGCTTTTAATAGGAGATTAAAATTTTAAAAAGCTTAAGCGCGCAAGGGGGACGACGACGTGCCCTTTCCCTTCCGGCAAAGAGGCAATAACATTAAAAGGGTTTATTGATATAAAAAGGTTCGGACGCAAGAAGCGCGCCCCCTAGAGGAATATTAGTTAACGATGTTATAGGTGATGCCGTAAAATGTCCGAATATTGCGGGCGGACAAAATTACACGATTTATGAGCAAAGTAATGTGAAATTATTGGATCCTTATATTTATAGATATATTGAAAGAGAAGAAAGTGGAAAACATGTACAAGGTTATAAGAAATTAAATAAAATCAATGGAATTAAATTATATTCCAAGAAAAAACTGCCATGTATATTCTGTACCAATGGGAGAATAATATATGGGAATCAGAAACACAATAAAAAAAGACTGTGATAGATTTGAGTTCTATGTTAGTCTGCAAGCTTCTAACCGAAAAATAAAGGACCATTTGTTTTGAAAAGTTTTTGAAAAGTTTCCACGTATATTCTCGTAATTTTCAAGGTTATTTTCAGATAATATGTTTTTTGACAAACGTAAACATTATAGTGTACAATAAGGTTATGACCGTGGATTGGAGAAATAGGAAGATGCGCAGCCTTATGGGTTGGTCCAAATTTGGTTGGTTTAAAAGTTCAATTTGGTCCAAAAGAAAAGAAAAAAAAAATAAAAGTTTTAATCATCTGCTGAGCGAAACGCGCGTCCAGTGTAAAAGTAAAAGTGTTTTAGTGTATTGTGGTAATTTAGTGTTTTATTTTGCAGAAAATAAACGGAAATAATAAAATAACGGAAGGCAGAAGGACCAGATACACTCTACGGTACAAGGAGCTGAACAGGGCTGTGCGAACTGAATATCGGGCAAATGAGCGTTGGCTAGCAGACAAGTGCAGTGAAATGGAGACATTGCAAAAGAAACATGATTTGTTTAACCTCTACAAAAATATCAAAGAATTTACAAACACAGGACGCAAACAGTGTCGAGGTATTCTGAGAGATGCTAACTATAGAATCTTGGTAGGCGTCGAGGAAAAGCTCGATCGGTGGAAGGAGTATGTTGAGTTGCTCTACGCAGATACACGGCCCGATCAACCACCCGTAGCTAGTAATCTCAATGATTCTAGTCCTAAGGAAGAAGGCAAATGTGCTATAGATCTTCAGAAAAAAAACAGGGCAGTAGGACCTGACCAGATCCACGCGGAAACCCTAAAGCTAATCGCCGATGCAGATTACAAGGGCCTTAAGAGTCTTACAGAATTGTTAAATTCGATATACAAAGCCGGCAAGATACCCACTGATTGGCTAAAATCCACTTTTATCCCATTACCCAAAAAACCAAACGCTTCTTAATGTGATGACCACCGGTTAATCAGCCTGATGCCGCATGTCCTCAAAGTATTCCTCCGCATAATTCATACCCGTATATACAACAAATGCGAAGGACAGGTTGGGGATACACAGCAGGCCCTAGACACTCAATAGTAATTTTATGGAACTACAAATTTAGTTTCTTCCGCATCGCCAGGTGGCGCAAAAGACATTAAAGTACAGGTTTCTAATTTATATATGAAGGTGACATGACAGCCTCTATATTTACTACCATCTATGGTCTAGTTTTGGTCTAGTTGTCAAAATGTTGGTGATCCGTCAAGTTATTTTTAAATCATTTTTAAATAATTATTAATTCAGATATTCCTGATTTGCCGGAAAGTTCGGTGATTTGTGTTTATAGTTTATGTTTTTATTCATTTGTGCATTTTGATATTTACAGTCGATCATTATTTTCGTGCTGGATACTAAACATTTTTATTAAAGACATTTTAGACATCTTAGAAATAATACATTTATGAACAAACTAAAAAAAATGTTTAATCATAAATAAGTAAGTACATAGTTGGTAATATATTATTTTTAGTAATAGTTAAGTACTAGTCTATACTATATTATAATTTATTTGTTAAATCAAAAAAATAGGCGGTACGTGCTCTATTGTTGGTGTTTAAAATGTATGTTTTCATAATTTTATTTTTAGTTTTGAATGTGTTACACTTTTAATGATCAAATAAAAATTAAAATCTATATATACAAGTCTATATTTATTATTTTATATTTTACAAGGAATAATTTTGCTCTTGAATAACGTTACCGTTTTAGTTAGCGTTAATAAACAACGGAACGCTAAAATTATGTTATGCTAAAACTCTCCATTAGTTTCTTCCGGATCACCAGGTGGCTCTATGGACTTATTTGTTTTATATCAGTGTCCAATCTATCTCTAGTACATGACATTAGTCTATGGTACACAGTTTGGATTTAAGAATGGAGTTGGCACGCGCGAGGCACTTTTTACACTGAACGTTATTACACAGCGATGCAGGGACATGAACGTCGATATATATGGCTGCTTTATAGATTATAGAAAGACCTTTGACTGTGTGTCGCACCAAAAACTTGCCGAGGTTCTTAGAACCACCGATGTGGATGAGGGGGACCTGCGCTTTATCACCCTGTTATACTGGAACCAGACTGCAGAGATTAGGGCGGATGGCGGAACATTTGATGAAGTAGCAATTAGGAAGGGCGGTATTCCGTGAGGCACTAGAGAGCGTTGAAGATGGTATCAAAATCAATGGTACCTTGATCAACAATATTCGCTTCGCAGATGATACGGTCGTACTGGCTGGCAACATTTTACACCTTCAGAACATGATGGACCGCATCGTTGAACATAGCATGCAGTACGGATTACACATCAATGTTAACAAAACTAAACTTGTTGTATTTTCCAAAACACCGGGAAAGACTGTCCTCAGAATTAACAACAAGGTGGTAGAACAAGTATTGGCCATAAAGTATCTAGGAGCCCTAGTTAACGACACTTGCTACCCCAAAACTGAAATTTTAGCGAAGATCGAACAGGCCAGACGTACTTATGCTTCCATGAAAACCCTCTTCTCCAGCCGAGATCTAAGCCTCGAACTGCGCATCCGTATGCTGCGTTGTTAAATCTTTCCAGTATTCCTCTAACTCTCAGAGCAGGAGTTGGACACTCAATCAGACATTGGAAAACCGCATTAACGCTTTTGAGATGTACTTGTATCGTCGTATGCTGCGTATATCCTGGATTGATAGAGTGACAAATGAGGAGGTACTCAGGCGGATGGGCAAAGAGAAAGAGCTCCTATCAACAGTGAAGGAAAGGAAGTTACAGTACGTCGGTCACATCATGAGGGGTGAACGATACGACGTGCTCAGACTGGTCACCGAAGGCAAAATTGAGTGCAGGAGATCAGTGGGAAGAAGGCAAAACTCCTGGCTTAGGGATCTGCGTCGTTGGTTCGCAAGAACATCGATCGAAATTTTCAGAGGTGCGGTTTCACGCACCACCATAGCCAGTTGGATCGCTAACCTCCGAAGGGAAACGGCGGTCTAAGAAGAAGAATCTGTTAAGCAGGATATTTCTTCACTAATAATTATGATTACCTTTTATTTGAAATATTAATAAAAATATATTTATTTCTCATTTATGATTAACTATCTAAAGAAATATCATTTTTATCACATTACTCCGTCGAACGATTATGTTAAGCATTAAGTAAAATAAACATGCATCAAAACTTGTTAGCCACATTTGAGGAATAGTAACGTTATAACAATTGTGTTTCTATAGTACACTGAGAGACGTGCTCTCTATAAATCTTTGGTTTATTGAATCAATTTTCAACAATGACATAAAACGGAAATTAAAGCTTCTTCATAGCACCTCAAATCGACAGCTGAATGGTCACTAGGGAGGAGAGAATCCTTCAATTTCCACATGATAAGAGGTGAATATTATGAATAGAGAATTATAATACCAGTGCCAATATAACATTATTCTATTTTATATTAATAATTTTATACAGATATTTTAAAATTGTTTTAAAAGCCTGAAAATATGCCTGAAATGTGCAAAATTTGTATAAGAATTTTTTATAAAAGCGTAAGTTGCTTTGTGTTTTCCATAATCTACAGCAGCTTTCTTACCCACCAAGAGCACCGTCGCACACTATTAGTTGTTTATTACATATATTTCTAGAAGAAAATCCTTAAAAAACACTCCAACGCAAACATAGACTAGTAGGTATGGTTTCCTTGAAGTTCAATTGTATAATTACTTAGTATATCTATTAGTAATTATTAGTTAAAAAATTAATATTTTTATACTTACACTGAGTAAATCATTTCCTTCAACTAGTAAATACACCACAAGAAGCAGTATCAGAACTGGTAACTGGTATATCTGAATCATAAACCTAAAAGAGAGTAGAAGTTGTTATATTAGAGGGCTTTTGAATAGCTGCAAAAAAGTACGAATCGTTTCTAATGAAATGTATTAAATTATTCCTAGATCGGTAGTATTGGGGTTTATTTAAAAATATTATTATCTCACACCAGGAAAGTGTACATGATAATAAGATTTTAATTTTTTAAAAGTGTACGTTGTGGTCCGAACTGTATTCCGGAAAATTCGACAACAAATTCTGTATATAAACATAAATAACAAAGTTCATATAAACTTATGCCTTAAAATGCTTCGTTTCGGAGATACAGGGTGTAGAAGTAGACCTATAATAGCGCACAATAGAACGGAATGGAGGAGAATTGTAAATTCAGTTAATAACGACAACCAAAAAGTAAACAGGCAACAAAGTAATGAGATTTTTGAATGTCCGGAGTGCGGAAGAGAGATAACATCACGGGCTTTTCAGTCACAGAAAAGATCATGACAGGAAACGCCTTGCGTAACCATCTTCTGATGCGTCTCAAATATTCGTCAGCGAGTAATGGTAGTAAGTAAGTAATTAAGGTGTAGAAGTTTTAACATGAGAAATTTGATTTCGATGTCAATATGAAGGGGGCGCCATCTACATGTTTTTTTACTGCTTTGAAGAGCAATAATTTCTGAAGTAACGTCAATATTTGGAGGAAAATTGGTGTCTGGGAGTTTTTTGACATGAGAAATTTGATCTTGATGTCAATATAACTCCTACTTGTAGAGGGCGCCACCTACATACTTTTTAACTGGATTGAATAGTAATAAATTTTCGTCAGTACCTGTATTACACTACTGAGTAAAAAATATACATTTTTGCCTTATTTTACTTAAAAATATCTCTTGGTAAAAATCACTGCGAGCAACCGGTCTCAAGATATTTGGATTCTTAATAATCAATACAGGCCGTCAATGACAAAAAATATACATGTTCATTAGGTAGATATTTGAGGATATTAATAAACTGTCAATTTTCTCAAAATTCTGTAATTTTTGAAAAATCGTATTTCCGTTAAAACAAGTTAATGCTAAAGTTTCTACCGAAACTATGTTATCATAAATTTCTTAAAATTTTTTTTATTTAGAAAATTGACATGCATTGGTTATTTCAAATCCCTACATTTCTATAATAGTTATTTGTTGAAATAAGGATAGTTTTTTTTTTATTTATTATTTATTCCTTAATTGTAACTTCGTTGCATTTTTTTTGTATTGAGGGAGTACTTTTTAATCACTTCAATTGAATTTTATATTAAAAATAACAAAAATTTACTATGGTTAAACACCGCATTATTCCTAGATTGGTAGAATTGGAGTTTATTTAGAAATACTATTATCTCACACCAGGAAAGTGTATATGATAATAAGATTTTAATTTTTTAAAAGTGTACGTTGTTTTGCTTACGTAAAGGGTATTATACAGGTTGGTTCGAAAGGACCAACCTGTATAATACCCTTTCTACTACCTCTTAACTACCTCTTACGTAAAAGTGACGAGAAAAACTTCTACAACTAGTATACTTCCGCCAAAAACGTGTTTTCTAGTCTTTAAACTAATGTAATAATTTTTAGTTAGTAATACTATTTGTAATAAGTAAACTGAAATTGTTCCGAAAAACACTTTTAGTTCTAAAAATAAAAATAAAAACTACCCAAAATTAATTTTGATTTGCTAGCCTTAGATATTATGCACATTTTGAAAGGACTTAAAAACAGCTTCGTTCTATGATACGAAAGTGTCTCGAAAATGACTAGTTTAGTCAAATATCTTTCTAGCAAAAATCTTTAATTTTCCTTATTAATGACATGTATTGATTAAGATTCCAAATATCTGAGAGAACGGTTGCTCGCAGCGATTTTTACCAATATACATTTTACCCAGTACTGTAATACAGGGACGGACAAAAAGTTATTACTCTTCAAAACAGTTAAAATAGATGTGGCGCCCTCTACAAGTAGGAGTCATATTGATATCGAAATCAAATTTCTCATGTTAAAAAACCCCTAGATACTAATTTTCATCCAAATACCGAATTTAGTTCAGAAATTATTAGGAAAAAAGCGAAATAAAAATGAAAGTCTACACCCTCTATCTCCGAAACGAAGAATTTTAGGACATATGTTTATACGAAATTTTTACTTATTTTTATGTTCAAAATATGCTGCCGATAGTTCGAGAATACAGGTCGGACCACCCTGTATGATAATAGAAGTCACCTGTAACTTGGGAACTGTTAATGATAGAGGGCATATATACAGACCGGACCACCGTAGTAGTAACATAGGCAGAACCGGACGAATTAGCGTATACCCGTCCGCCGGATAAAAAGCAGACGAAAAAATCCGATAAAATAAAAATAGGTAGATATGTCGTGATAAGAATGTTACAGAATCTGTATTTATTCGTGTTTTAATAGCCAAAACGAATACATAGATTCTCGCTCTCGTGTCAAATTTATTTTTTAAGTAAAATAATGGATGTTTAGGAAGTTCGTGAGAAAATTCAAATTGTAAATTGTAAAACGGTATTTCCAAAATAGGTCTTATCGGGATATACAAACAATTTTTCCACAAACTTTTGTAAACAGGCCAATTCCATCTTTACCTACTATATCAAGAGTTATTAATAATTTTGAAACACATGGATGCGTGTCCCCACAAAAACCCAAAACAGCATGATGTGTTGATTAATGAAGAACAGGAGTTAAAGCAAGTGTTTGGGGTGGTTTTGTAGGGGAGCATATGATTGGTCCATTTTTTATAGAGGGCAATTTAACTGTTCCAAAGTATTTGGACTTGTTACAGCAGCAGATTGTCCCTAGAATTCGTGAGTTATTGGGAGAAAGATTCCACAATGTTTGGTTTCAACAAGATGGTTGCCCTGCCCACAATGCCCGTATTGTTCAAGAATATTTTTGAACAATACTTTTCCTTTTTTCCCCTTTTTTTGTTTAATTAGTGGACATGGAACTATTTTCTGGTCCGCTAGATCACCAGATCTTTCTCCCAATGATTTCTTTTTGTGGGGTTATGTAAAATCCAAAGTGTATGGTCATAATAGGGCTAATAATCTGGATGAGCTTCAAGTAAAAATCCGAGAGGCTTTTCAAACCATTAGCCCTAATATGTTAGCCAATGTCAGACGGGGATTTTACGACCGCCTAGGCTTCTGTCTAGCAAAAGAAGGTGGTCTTTTTGAACACTTGTTATAACTTTTTTATTTAGAGTAATATTTTTTTTTTCGGGTTTAGAGAATTTATTTATTTTTAATTTTGGCTTGTGAACAATACTTTTCCTTTTTTCCTCTTTTTTTGTTTAATTAGTGGACATGGAACTATTTTATGGCCCGCTAGATCACCAGATCTTTCTCCCAATGATTTCTTTTTGTGGGGTTATGTAAAATCCAAAGTGTATGGTCATAATAGGGCTAATAATCTGGATGAGCTTCAAGTAAAAATCCGAGAGGCTTTTCAAACTATTAGCCCTATTATGTTAGCCAATGTCAGACGGGGATTTTACGACCGCCTAGGCTTCTGTCTAGCAAAAAAGGTGGTCTTTTTGAACACTTGTTATAACTTTTTTATTTAGAGTAATATTTTTTTTTTCGGGTTTAGAGAATTTATTTATTTTTAATTTTGGCTTGTGAACAATACTTTTCCTTTTTTCCTCTTTTTTTGTTTAATTAATGGACATGGAACTATTTTCTGGTCCGCTAGATCACCAGATCTTTCTCCCAATGATTTCTTTTTGTGGGGTTATGTAAAATCCAAAGTGTATGGTCATAATAGGGCTAATAATCTGGATGAGCTTCAAGTAAAAATCCGAGAGGCTTTTCAAACTATTAGCCCTAATATGTTAGCCAATGTCAGACGGGGATTTTGCGACCGCCTAGGCTTCTGTCTAGCAAAAGAAGGTGGTCTTTTTGAACACTTGTTATAACTTTTTTATTTAGAGTAATATTTTTTTTTTCGGGTTTAGAGAATTTATTTATTTTTAATTTTGGTTTGTGAACAATACTTTTCCTTTTTTCCTCTTTTTTTGTTTAATTAGTGGACATGGAACTATTTTATGGCCCGCTAGATCACCAGATCTTTCTCCCAATGATTTCTTTTTGTGGGGTTATGTAAAATCCAAAGTGTATGGTCATAATAGGGCTAATAATCTGGATGAGCTTCAAGTAAAAATCCGAGAGGCTTTTCAAACTATTAGCCCTAATATGTTAGCCAATATCAGACGGGGATTTTACGACCGCCTAGGCTTCTGTCTTGCAAAAAAGGTGGTCTTTTTGAACACTTGTTATCACTTTTTTTATTTAGAGTAATATTTTTTTTTCGGGTTTAGAGAATTTATTTATTTTTAATTTTGGCTTGTAAACACACTCAAGTAATAAATATTTAAGTACTTTTATTTTAAATGTTACCTTAAGTGAAGGTAAACACTTAAAATGAAAATAATAAATACTCGGCACTCCTCGCGTCGTATCCCTAGTGTCACGACCGACCCGTCCAAGCACAACTGCAACTGCGTACTGCCTGACCAGCCGACTAGCCGGTAGTGAATCTCTAGTACGAAGGCAAAACGGGTAAACGTAAATTCGTCCGGCAACTTGCTATGTTACTAGTAGCCTGGCCTTCTCTGTATATATAAGAAAATAAAATATTTACTGGGGAAACCAAGAGGAGTAATAATTTAAGAGGGGTGACAGATTACCTAAAAATGATGAGAGGAAAGACAAAGAGATTAAAGATTATATAATCAAATAGAACTAAATGTCACAATTAACACTCTTCTTCTACCAATACCCCTATCTAATACCCCTTCCAACCGAATTGTCGTTATTCTGGAAGACTTTGAGTTACAGAGGATAAACAATTATATTCCAATATAAAAATGTAAGAGGTAAGAACATAAGGTAAGGGAGGGTGGGTACAGGTGTATGAAAGTAAAATATTTTATAAAGAACGGGAAGAATATGAACAA